GTGAGAGCTGAATGTTCCGCCCCTTTCTTTTACACCGTCTTACTTTGACCTTGACCCCAGCTTCTAATCCAACTTCGTTTTCGGATTATGCCCGCTCCCAACATCCCAAATTATCGCGGACCGGTACGTCGGACGGCGCCGTTAAAGATTTGTGCCCAACTGTTGACGGACCGGACGGACGCACAACGGACGATCATGCAATCTCTACGAGCGCATCTGACTATGTTCAGATGAGCTAAAACAGTAGCAACAAATGCCATAATGCCATTTGTAATGTATTGTTTTGTTTTATTAGCGGTTAATAATAATGATTCTTGACATGTTTTTCCAGAAAACACCATTTTATTCATTAATTATTAAAATATAATATCACTATAATTGTAATTCGTAGTGTAAATGTTAGTTATTTTTAAGCTTAAATATTAATTACGAGAGGGTCTGGGCTCTTCGTAATGTTTAAGGCGTAACAACAAGAACATGTTTGTTTCCGGTTATATGATTTTTTCAAACTAGGCCCTAGGTAGAGGCAGGCCGGTAAATTTTTCTATTTGGCTGAAAATTCTAGAACATCATTTACGTCCTTACTTAAACGGCCCGCGATAGAGGCCTACTCACTTAAGTTATACTATGATATACGGTTAAAACACAACGGACTGTATCATACCAGGTTATGTCTCGACACCTTATGGACTGTCGGTTTTTAAACATCGCGCGTGTTGCGACTATTTCCTACGTTTATAGAGGTGGTTTAATGGTGCACATGGCTCAAGTTTGTGTGCGAGTGATATGTGTTGTGTGGTATGAAAGATTCATCTTTTAATGTCTGATATTAAAGATTTCATTCGAGTGTCTGCCAGCGTTTAGTGTTTATTCTCATCTTCATGATGCCTACCATTGTGATTGGGATCGGTAACAGTGTAATTTGTTGACTATATGTAACAATAAAATGTCTCTTATAACCGCATGCAAAAGACAATTCCATGCACGATTACATTTTTGCGTTCTCTTGTGATTTTCGCTGTCATTCGTTCGCACTTTCTCGCGGGTTACCGCGACACGGTCAACAAGTGGTAGCGAGTAATGCAAAAATCCGCACCGGAGATATTTTGGTCAGATGAAACACAGAGGTGTCATAGCTGCGTAACACAAACAACGAGTGTAAGTTTGTAACTCTCAATAAATATTAGTCTTCAAAAGTCCTAGGGACTATAACGGAAGACGGAGAGAGAATGTGCGATTCAAATCCTCGTTGCGTACGCCAACGGAGAATACTTATTGATATCACACCACAAATAGATGCCTTTGTGTTTAATTATGTTCGCTTGTTTGAGATCGCCCATTTGTTGATTTTTCGAAGTCTTTGACTCGAAAAAATGTATTTGCTGGTAATGATGATTAGTGTCAAATACAATTATTTCTATGCTTATAAACTGGCATAAAAATATTGCGTTGTTATGATCGGTTGGCTGTAATCCGCTGATATTTGCGCTGTCAGGTAGAGTACTATATTCAGCTATATTTAGTTTTTCTGAGCAAAATTCTCGCAATGATCGTTTTAAAGGTCCAAACGATGCATTTGTTGATTTTCATTTTTAAAAGTGGTCAAAAATGTTTAGGGACGGCAACTATTTGGTAGGGTCGGTCGGGTAACCGGAAACAAACAATTTTTTTTGTTACACCCAAGCGGATATTTGCGAGGATTTTTCGTTCTCGTAACATTACAATGTTTCTGTCAACGGTTTACGAGTGGAAGTTAATGGTAATACTAATGTTGCGACAAATTTTGTTTCTGACACCAACCCCCTGGACGATTTGATATTATGTTCCTGACATTAATTGCTTGCTATGGGCTATGTATGAGTCACGAGTGTATGTTCACATCAAACAAAATAGTAAAACAGGAAGTATAATGCAGCAATTTAACCATAAAAGGTGAACAGAATTACTTATATTTTGTGAAAAAGTAGAAAGATTTTTTTAATTTTTACTATTTATGGTGACTTTAAGAAAATGCAAAATAATAAATAGCTGCTAATAACTGCATGTTGCAGTGAAATTCACGGTGTTTCTATATTGGAACAATGGGTATTGTAGACTCTAGAGTATGGATTGAGGTACCCGTTTATTACTTGTGTGACAGTTTAGGGTTAGGGTTAGAAATATCCCAATCGGGAGGCGAAATGGCGAGACTAATATCAATACACAGCCTGACACCTATCCATTGGGAAAGTTTCTACCTCTATATAAACTGTTAAAGACTACAAATACCTGAACAATTTATTATCTTCTGTTTTACTTGTGTTGTATTAACTTTAAACTTTACGTTATAGAATTCCAGCACTGTTAATAGAATTTAAACATTAGTTCACTGTATACACTGTAAACTTTAAAAGGCAAAAAAACCTGCCAGATTGAAACTGAACTGCCCTTTGAGATGGATGTGGAAAACCTTAAAACAACACGAGTTAAACAGGTGAAACCGAAGTGCTAGTCGAACTGTCATGCCATGTGTTTGGCCCGTCTTCTTCCGCGGTTGCCGTATCTTCCCGGGGAAGTGGTACGACAGGCTTTGATAGTAGAGGTACGAAGAGTAGATTATGCATTAAAAATGAAAGGCCTGCGGCAGAGCGGAGGGCTATAGTTCTAGATCTAGTAACCACTGGCAGCAAGTACAAGTCCGCACGTGCAGCTACAGCACACACGCGGCTGATTGGCTGCAGCAAGTCAGTTGCCTAGTGCTGCAGCCTGTCACTGCATCATTAAACTTGCTGCAGCCAATCAGCGCAGCCAACCCTGCCACCTTCTTCAATAGTAGCATTCGAAGAATCTTTTCGCATGGATATTTGAGGATCTGGAATTTGGATTGGAATTTCTGTGATTTGAGTGCATTCTGGCGGGCCGATTGTCAAAAATATGGCGGTTTGTAGCTTGTTCAGCAGTCTCCGCCGATTCCAACGATAGTTGGAAAGTGGGCGTCACCTTTCAGGAACACCCGGAGTTGTAACTGATGAAAATGGTGAGTTTTCGTGCGGCGGCCGCAAGTTAGGCACCATGACTTGTTCTTGCTGCCAGTGCTAGTAACCAGTGCAAATCCACTTTAGGCACTTGGGTATCACGAAGTGATGCACAGTTTTCTGGTGTATCGTCAACTGATGCACAGACTAACTTTCCGTATATCAAGGAATGATGGCAAAACCCTAACCCTAACGCCTAACAGTAACACACTTCGTGTACCGTAAGCCCTAAGGTTATACTTTAATATGTCTTTATGACTTAGGGTTAGTTAGCGGTTTTTTGCATCATTCCTTGATATACGGAAAGTCTGTGCATCGCAGTTGATGATACACAGAAATCTGTGCATCACTTCGTGTTACTAAAGCCTATTAAAGTGGAATTTGCGCCCTGTGACCCCTCCCCCACCACCGCGTGTGCCCCTACGCCCCATGCTTTCTGCTACAAGACGGTCGGAGTCTAATCGCATTGACCCAACAGGGCGATGTAACGTACTCTCCGGTGGCCCATAAATATGCCTCCTCTAATAACATGCAAGCTTTCAACATTAACCCGGAGTTAGATTCGCTAACACCCAGCTGTGGAGCTGAGCTATATTCTATGTTGTGATATATAAATGGGAAAGGCGGTGCCATTAAAGCCGACGTCGACTATTACCACACTTTCAAACGCCCAGTGCAACCACAAAACTTCTTAATCCCTTTATTCTTGGGGCGCATTCAACACATAACTATGACTAACTTTATTCTCAAAATCGAATTCGCACCAGTCATTTACTGTTTGTTCTTTAACCACGCTGCCGAAAGTTCATCCACAAACCGCCCACCACGAATCAAAAATTCCCAAAACCCTGTCTCAAAACCTATCGAGCGCCTAATTGACCGCACCTAGTCCGATTTAGAATTAGGGGTCGCCGATTTCCAGAATTACGGCTCTGCCAAACGTCAACACGGCGCACCTTCGCCGATAAACTTTATTCCACACTTTCAAAACACCATTTGTCAACTTACCAGAGTCTGTTAATGTCATTATAAACGTCAATCATATACGAAATACATGCATTTCTTGCGGCGTGCAGCCCATTTTGAGATTTCTTACATCATATTCATACCAATTGCAGCGCTTACCTCGCCAGTTTTGTGCGGTTAATAAAATCATGACGTCAGAATATGGCTGTCGAATGGTTGCAGACAGGCGTTTTGCGTAAAAAAGGAAAATTATTTTTGAATTGTGGCGTTTGTGGCATGAACTTTCGGCAGGCTGTGTTCAAAGGCACAAACAGTAAATGACCTGGCTGCGAATTCGCATTTTGATGATAAGCTTTACATGTTATGTGTTTCGAATGCGCCTAAGAATAAAGGCGCATTAACGAGTTTTTGTGCAGTTGCACATGGGCTCGTTTGAAAAGTGGTCGCGTATAGGTCCGACGTCGGACGTTCCATGCCACCCTTCCCATTGATATATACAACATAGAATATAGCCAGTCCACCTTGGGTGTTAGCAAATACTAGCTCCCGGCCCCGTTAATTTGAAAGCTTGCATGTTATTAGAGAGCAATATCTTATGCCGGCCACGCGAGTACGTTACATGCGCCCCATAGTGCTGGAATTGCACCTCTCTTCGCCGAGCCCATAAGGTTAGATACGATTTTTATGCCTTAGGTGTTACATGCAATATACTAGCCATACTAGCAATTTTTCTGGACCCATCTTGTTATTTGACACACATTAAGAACGCCTAGTCATGAGAAAACAATGCACAACGAACGCTGACAGGATTACAATTCCATATATAGCGCGATTCTAAGGCTGGACTTACTTGAATTCACAAGCCTTACCGCGAGCTCTAGACAACTATCAGCACACGATAGAAAAATATAACGTAGTTGGCTTTTAGATATTTATAACCGATTAACGAAACTAAAAGCAAGCATTCGTGCGATCCGCCTCCTAAAGTTTTTATAAACACAACTTATTCAACAAACTCACCGCCAGATTCCACTAAAAGGATACAACGGTTGCATTCTGGGGTGAATCGCGTAAACGAGCACTGTCCTTCCCGTCGCTGTCTGTGATTTCCGCCGTCCTATCGCAAACTGCGAACCAGAGCTTTGAGTTTATCACATAATGGAACAGTCGTCTAATTACAGTATATAGTTCTCTTAAATATTATATAAAACGACGACCGAACCTAAACAGTTTGATATCCATGAGCTCAAATGATAAGATGAGTCTAGTGGCCCGATCAGCTTATGCTCAACAGATAAACAGAACGAATTTCTGCTCGAAGGCAACGAATTCACAATCAAAAGCTGAACCGCCCCAGAAGTGTAGCGACCTACGTTATTCAGTCCCAGTGCTCGCATGCATTGCTATGCGCTTATAAGTTCATCGTGAAGAGAGTGCATCGACATGATTATAAGCAATATAATTTACACACACTGGAAATTGACTCTGCACTGCTATCAGCCCCAGCGCTATAACGATGCTATGCTGACACTTAGGCCCTTAATACAAAATTGATGAAGTGAAATGCCCTAGCTATATAGTGACTATAATATATTATGTTAATACTAATACTATAGAAATAATACTAATAGGCCTATACTCACTACTCTTAAGCCTTACTATACGACTTAGCCGCACTTAGCGAAGACTAGACTTAGGGCCTAGTCTATATTCTCGACTATTAGTGCTTATACACATCACAGGCACTTAGGAACGTCTCAATAAAAAACAAATTATGGTAAATAAACACGAAATGTGTTTCATACCAAATTGAAAAGTCTTAATGCTTTCTCTACTCTATTTCGCCTATAGATCACTATGAAATGCTGGTCAAATGCATCATCTTGCACAACATCACAAGACACCGCACTGCTAGGCTGACTTGCGCACGCTGACTCAAATATATACTATTAGACATATAGTCAATGTTTATGTTTTTATCGTTATTTAGTCTTGATTGTTGTCAGTGTGTGCCAGGCAGCTAGCATGCGGCCGGCCAGCACGTGTGACAGTGGTGTTGCAGTATGAGCATATTGGACGGCATTTACCAGGAATTTTGGAATAACTAGGTGAAAGAGAGTAAGAGCCAACATTACAGACTCAAATATGGTACCTATATAGTAAATATAATTATCATATTTATTTAGATTATATTTTACAGAAGTGGCCTATATATATGCCGGCAGCCGGCAATAATATATATCTGACGGTTCGGGCACGGTCTTCTGATCTTCCTAAATGCCCGGCAGTTTTTTAACTTTTTCAGCGTTATCTCAAGTAAACAAGGCGGTTAGGGTTAGGTGAACTACCGCCGGCATTTTAGGGAATCGAAAGACCGTGCCGGGCTGCCGGGCATGTAGCCACAGCGTATATTTTTTATCGAAACGCCTCCAAGGCACTGTGAGAAACTAGCGCGATCGCCCCAGCTCGCCCAGTGGCGATTAGAAAATTTACCGGTCTGCCCGCGCACTGCTGCCTTTGTGTTAGCGTTGGTCCGGCGGCCGGCGACTAGATAATGCCGCACAGCAGCCGAAAAAAATACAGACTTGTAAACGGCGAGCGCATAATACGACCCGTCCTCAACGTAACGGGGCGCTATCAAACCTTCTAGAGCGCCTGCATGAACTCCCTCAACGAATGATTAGCCACACGAACAAACAAACTCGCGACGCGTCTTAAGAAATCGATGAGCCTCTGTAGTGTTTTTTATATGACCGCATATTAACTCATAACAATAAGTTTTTTATATCGCAGGCCTTTATCGTGGGGAGTTGCAGTGCACGACCTGACACACCTGCACACGCACGTAATCCAAAGCTGCTCTAACTGAATTCGTCACTTCTTCATGTGGACTATTGCGAAAATGGGCCGAATCGGGAAATGTGACTATTTTATTCAGTTAGATATCTTAGAAGCCCCAATGTAAACTGCTACTATACTTTAAAGAATTTCTAGGCACCTTGTAACTTGCGGCATGTGCGCAGGCATTGATCTATGCATGGGGGATCTCATACCGTGCCCGACCTTGCGGGAGGAGCAAAAACGAAAGTAAAACCTGCAGAAGCTCGGCATTCCTAGAAGCTTGCCTGTACAAGTTTTTATTAACATTACTCAAAGTAAACTAAATACTGATGTGTACTGTGTAGTGCATGTCTGCCCTGTGCTGAATTAAATTGAATAAGAATTAGTGAACTGCGTTTCTTATCGTCGAGTGAATAGATCAAAAAAAAAAGCGCTGATTCGCAATGCCAATTTGTGACGATTTCTTAACACTGATAATCTGATACTGGTGCTGAATGCTGATATGCTTTGAATGCTGAGTAGCTCTGGCCAAGCCTAAAATATAGCTCCGCTAAAAAAATCTAGAAAACTTTCTTTTTTTTTCCATTACAATATCAAAACAATGCATTGCATAATAATTGAGGCATCCCCGGACCAATCAGCAATCATGTAATAATATATGAATATAATTTATAATTTATAGGAATAATGGCGCCGCGTCTTCAGAGACCGCTTGATCTTTGAAATCGACTTGCAGACTTGTTCCGATTTTACTACGCATCAGTGCTTACAAAAACCAAGCTAAAAAATATAATTTTTTAAGAATACCTTAGAATGCACAATCACTAATTAGCACCACTCCCCCCCCCATATACAAAACGTCCCCCACATCCGAGTCATTCACTTTTGCTACGACAGAAATCCTGACCAGTGCCTTACTGACACAGGACCAGTGCTTCCTCAGCAGGCACTTGGTCCTGCTGACAGTACCTCCAATTATCAGTTTTTTCACCCTGCAAGTGCTTGCTTGATAAGCTACTATAAAGTATAAGGCCTAGATAAGATATTGCTTGTTTCCCCTTTACCGACCGCGCTCCAAAAATGCCGCTACTCGAGCATTTTATATGCGCCGTATATTAAACAAAACAAAATCAAATTCGCTTCGCGCCAAAAACATGTACCCTGGTACACAAAACAGAATATACAATATATTCACACATCTTGTCAAAACAAAATAAAAAAGATTTTTCACCTACCTACCTACTCGGTACCCTGAGAGGCGAGTAGGTAAAGGGGAAACAAACAATTTTTTAAGGGTGGCCTAGTGTAATCGACCGGACTCTGTGACTCAGAGCCACAGACACTTGGACCGTTGCAATAATAAAATGATGCTAAATAAACACAAATTGTATTTTCTGTCTAAGTCTTAATGTTTATATATATCTACGCTCTTTCTTCTATTATATTACTTTTAGTAATAATACCCTGTAAATACTGCATGTTCAAATGCTACTCTGCAGCACACAATCAAACTGCACGCATACCACTGGTGCTGTGCACAAACTCACAGTAAGATAAGATTGAGCGCTATCTTTTTGTGACTGTGACTGTGTGCACAGTGGCATGCGTGCAGTGAAATCGTGTGTTGCAGCTGAGATTCTGAACGGCATGCACGCGCATTAACAAGGGGGCGATTAGGGCCCAAGGATATAAGCTGTCCACATTTGCACATGTCGCACATTTGCGAAAATGCATTGGGGACAGCTCTTATATCCTTGAATTGCTATTAGTATTACTATAAATAATAGACGAAAGAGAATGGATATAAACATTGACACTTTGGCAGAAATATATTTCATGTTTATTTGCCATCATTTGATTATTGAAACAGTTCAAGTGACTGTGATTCAAAGCTGTCTCCGGCCCCAAGAAACGTCCATACATTAAAATACTATGAGTATTGACATTAGTCTCACAGCCTGGCTTGCCAACTTGCACCGTGTCATGCAGATGTTAGACCAGTAAATTGTGTCCCAGAAATTTGTATAATCTGATGCTCATCTTTTAGGGCCCATTACTACTGCTGACAATAGCCTTCCAAATTCTATAGATAAATGTGGCAAACTTTTGTACACAACTTTTTCAATGTTGCTGATTTTGTAAGATTGAAATTCTAAGAAATATCACGACATCTCACTTTATTAAGATCTTACCTGCATCATAAACCATGCACATGCCACGGATTATCAGCTTTTGAAAAACCTTCTAGTTTTATCACTTTTTATCATATAAAATTATCATGAAACTAAATGTTCCAAACTTTGTCAGAGCAGAAATTGTAAACTTGCAACGTTTGTTGTCAGAACAGCAATCTTGAGTAAAATTCTCTGACAACGACCAGAGATGATTTTATTGGTCAGTGGGAACACGTCACAAGTAAAAACAATAACAAACATTACAAGTTAAAATATCTGTTCCGACGAAGTTTCGAGCATTTGTTGTCATTATGTTTTTAGCTTTGTTGGAGTGAATTGCACGACAGAACGAGCTTCGTTAGTTTTACTTTTTGTCAAGATGAAGAAATCGTAATTATCAATTCAGATATGGCAGACGAGACATGTGCATAAATTTTAAAACCATGTTCAGGTACGAATTGCTGAAGAACATGTATTTTGAGTTGTGGTTTGTACCACAACTTACTGTGGTTTTGTATTAAATCACTGGCAGCTTCATTTTTAATATGAAAAGGATGTTGAAAATTATGCTGTCAATGAAAATGAGTATGTATGGTCATATGATTCCAGTACTGCAAATAATCGTTAAAATATACTTCCAGAGCTGCACTTGGGGAAAATGTACAGGTCAAAAAAGAGGTCAAACAAGAGCAGCGGAAAAGTCAAAAACAAATGGAAACCAGTAGACAGGTAAATAACAGCTGTAACTATGATTTTAATTGTTGAATTTCTATGCATATATAATATTCAGTCAGCTATGATCGACTCGTAATTTGTTTGTGGCATGGATAGCATGTGGGATAATTAGTATTCCTTCTAGTATTACCGTGCAACATGGGGGAAATTTATTAAGATATCCAAGGTTAGTTATCCAATACCTATAGTCAGGTCCACAAGTTAGCAGTAAAAAAATGCATCATGAATATTTCATCGATCACATTCAATTACATTATTCATGCAGTCTTCATCAGGGCAGACAGATGGTAGCATCAACTATAGCCCTAGGCCTAAATTGATTCATAACACTGTGGTGTTATACAGATGAAGCTGGCTGAAACCTAAAATCCTACAGCCACTGCAAACAATCATCAAACATGCATCGTACAACTCCCAGGAGTGTGTCTACAGTGGGCAGCGATAAATGGGGCCGCCCACCACTGGAGGTCAACACCCGCCACCCATGCTCCTACCTCACACCACACCAGCTCTGACACTCATACACCTTCACTAGCCTGCAGTTATGTGACATCAGTTCTACATTGTATACATATTAATTTATAACAGTATTACATCATACATCAACATTGTCAAAGCTATTAACACATGCCACAATGTACAGGTATATACGGTCTGGGCAGGGTGTGGTATATGAGTAAGCCTTATACTATAGTCACATAACTGCTCTTTATTTATGTAGCTAATGTATGCAATTATGTTTGTTTCGAGGTTCCTGTTACTTCGTATCTGCAAACAGTGGATTTCACGTCGGATGCATTATGCTTAACTAATAAACTTAATGTGCTTTAGGGTGTTTTGCCAGATTTAGTTTATTTGTAAGGTAGCAATTCTACTTGCAATTTCATGCACTCAAATATCTGACAGAGATTCAAGGCATGCCATGTGCCTCCTGACGTAATGTAAGCGGACAGGATGCACCACACAGATTCACAATAGAGGGAGCTGTTTAGCAATTTTAATAGCAGGTCATGTCTAAGCTCTAACCTTGTAATTTCAAGTTGTGATGGTATATGGTATATGTATATATGTAGTCGAGTTTTGAGCTCATGCAACGCATCAATACATGCATTTCCACGACAGTTGATATTGATATAATACAGTGATAACATTTCTTACCACATCATTTACTTTCTTCATCCCTAGCCTGCCATTACTAATGTGTAAACAAAAATTAATTAATATAAATTAAAATAAGTACATTGTGTTAAACTGTTATGCAATTGATAATTGGCTAATGAGTTAAAAATATATCCAACGACAGACCAGACAGATTATTACAGTACTATCACTGACTATAATAACAGCAGGAACTATTCCTAATATAGATATATCCTATATAAAGTATGTGAGATCATATTATATATATATGGGACTTAATTACTACTCCTGAAATCCCCCCCCCCCCACAACACACACTAGCTTCCTCGCTCCTATTTGTCACTCCTCTCTCTCTCTCTCTCTCTCTCTCTCTCTCTCTCTCTCTCTCTCTCTCTCTCTCTCCCTCTCTTTCTTATTCTCTTTCTCTCCTATTTCTCTTTCCCCCTTTCTCTTTTCCCCCATTCTCTCTCATTCTCTTTCTCTTTCTCTTCTCATTTTTTTCTTCGTCTTCTCTCTCCTTCTTTCTCCCCCTCTCACTTTCTTTCTCTCTCTCTCTCTCTCTCATTCTCTTTCTCACTCTCCTTTTATTTTCTCTCTCCCTTTTTCTGTCTACTTCGCTTTCTCACTCTCTTTCTCACTCGCTCGTCCTCTTCTCTCGCTCTCTCCTCCTGCTTTCTCTCATTCCATTTCTCTCTCCCCCTCTTTCTCACTATTGCTAGCTATCTACCCCCTCGCTTCTTCTCTTCTTCACTCTCCCCCTTACTTCCTCTCTTACATAAGAACTGTCACCAGGGCATGAAATTCAGATTTTTTGTTCCACCGGCCCAAAGGGCTGGTAACAGCAGTTTTTTACTAGCTCTCGCAAATTTTCATTAAAAAAAAAATAAAGATGAGACTGTTTCACTGACCCATGCTTGTCCGAATAATGTTGTAGTGTGTTGCATCGCCTAGTAGCTGTTGAACAGACTATAATGCAGATCGTGAATGATCTCCAAAGTGTTTTTGTCAGTGTCATGTTTCACGCTTGCATTCTCGATTTCAATTAATTTGTAAAATGTTGATAAACTATGGCGTGATATCCTTCAGGTAAAACAGTAATGTAGCTATTTTCTCATGCTATAAATAAAAGTGTAGGTACTTTCTAACACGGCTGAAACCACCAGCTCGGAGGGCCAGTGTTTTGCCAATGTTACTGGCCCTCCAAATATAGTGACGTCACTTTTATTTGAGGTTCATAACAGTATATTGTACTAAGCAGTTGTTGGCTCATTAGTTTGTGATTCACATGCACTAAAATTCACCAGAATGCGTGCAATGAAGTCTCTGTAAGAAATATTTTCCTGGTGGGGGAGTTGTAAACTCGTGGGGGATTGATCCCGGGACCCCCAGACCCCCCACTTAAAAAGTGGCCTGATTGGGGCTATATTTCGCGCTACATTTCCTGGCCTGAATGATTTTCCCAGTCTGGCCCTGAGCACTAGTACGGCTGAAGCATGAATTTCCAGAAGGTTTTATTGCTAAAAAATGCTAAACAAATTACACTGTGACTTTCCAACTCGCCTCTTAATTTCCCACCACTGGCACAGATAGTCATGTGAGCACTGTCGCTCTGCAGAACTTGTCATGCTCAGCAGTGTAGTAATTTTAATTGACCAAACCTACTCGTGCAGGTTGGATTTGCCATGAGAGATATTTCTCTGGTAAAACCTGTGTTGCCATACAGGAGCATCATATTCGAGAATTGGCCTGATGCAATAATTTGGATTTATGCAGAGACTATCCAAACTGAAGTTGGATGGAAGTGAACTAGTGACAAACGTAAGAGTTGCAGTAGACTCACGGGCGACCCAAGCAAGAGCAGATGAATCTAATACGAAAACATTAAGGTGAGTAACAAGTCTTGTAACTGGATGTTTCTGTAATATGCTGCTTTTAACGATGTGCACTGTTGGTGTAGAGTACATTCAGTTCCTAAAGTAAATAGACATCTTCCATACATAATGTAAAACATAGAAAAGAAGTACAGCTTATATTATACCAGGGGGGTGCTCAACATTGCTTGGATTCTTTTATGGGTCAGCATCCATTCTTGGCAGCCACTAAGCATAGATATCAAATGTATGGTTTAATGGTAAGGAAAGGGGCAGTAACTTGAGCAGGGTACTTAAGTGAACTTATAGGACAGTAACTAAAGTGCTATGATTACTATATATATGCTTACTGAATGGTCTGGTGTTCCTGAAAAATTGCTGAAATCCACGTAAATCAACAACCATGGTGGCTGCCCCTCTTAGTGTAATTGCCTCCTTGCCCTTCCAATTAATTACGTGTCATTTTTGTCCCCCTTTTTAGCTCATCTGACATAGTCAGATGCAGCTTGTAGAATCGCATGAGCGTGCGTCTGTCCGGCCGTCCGTGCGTCCTCTAGTCAGCATTTAAGGGTGGGCAAGAAGAGCAGGCATTGCCGGCAGTGGAACAGGTGTTAATTTTATGTCCCGCAGTGTTTGAACAAGGTTGGGGACTGATGTCTCCATCTGCTGATAACTAGGACGACTACATTTAATCTGGGATCTGGGGTCCGAAGGGTGACGCACGGGGGAGCTAGGCTGATCCTGTAGGAGGAACTGCGCTCTTTTCGAGTTTTTATCGTCTAAACCTCGATGAATTCAAGTAATCTGGTCGCTTTTAGAAGTATATTTTAAAAGCCTTATAATAGTTGATGTTACAAATACTGTTTCAGCCAAATAAGACATTTCATCGACTAAAATCCAGGGTAATCACCAGAAATTCTGTTTAGGGTAGACACTGGGTTACTGATTGTTGTTGTGCTAAGCTGCTTAGTGCAGCATGTGCGTAGCACTCGCCCTTAGCAGGGAGGCCTGTATACCCATCTCAAAGCCGGCCTCCGTAACTTGTTAGAAGCTGGTTGCACATGTGTTACAACTTACATTAATTTTATTGATGGTGATTTAAAGTGTCAAGGTTTGGGACAGGCAAGCCTGTTCATTTTGTTAAATAAATTTTGCACAATTATCTGTCGCATCCTGAGTTTTGTTGTCATATCAATGTTTATTATCAATTCAATATGAGCAAATGTACGTAAGCTTGTAGTTATTGTAAGGCGTGGTTTTACTGTGTATTTATTCTATCTCATCGACATGTCATGTATGTATTGAAAAACTCATTCGGCCGGTATATAATAAGATAAAATATTGATATTGTTAATTAGATAACGCTATGCGTTTTTTCTATGTGTGTTGATATTAGATGAAGATGGAAGAGTGAACAAAATAAAATTCGTTCTGAACAGTCTTTTTCAAGGAACAGATTATTCCATCCCTGTGTGTTAATAAGTATATTTTTCATCTTATTACCTAGCTAGTCGTGCCAGTCACTCTACAAAGCTCAATAAACGAATATAATTAAATAATAGGCGCGTTCACACTGGCGCGAATAAGCGGGATTCAAATCCCGGTTTTGCATCTGCGATTCATGAAATACCGAGATTATTACAATGTGACGGCAATAATACTCACATAATAATGCGATCAGCATCGCGCTCCAAAATCGGGCACTTTTGACTGTCGATTATTTGAATTGCGCGAAATTTGCGTGTGTAAACGCTTGCGCAAATAATCCCGGTATTTCTATCCGCATCATTCAAGGGAGTGAGCAGTGAGCATGCGCAGTGAGCATCATTCCGGCAGTGAGCATGCGCAGTTCGATTATTAATTATCCCGCTCGGCGATTAGCGAGATATTTCCGCCTGTGTGAACAACGACACAATTATCTCGGTATTTCATCGCGATTAGCATCGCGGTTTTTCTTGTGTGTGAACGCGCCTAATATGTGGTGCCTGTGTTTGCTGAAGGAAGTCTTACTTAAATCACGCAACTGATTTGAATTCAGTTAGTAAATTTAATAAGTTTAAATTTAACTAATTTTAATAAATTAGTTTTACAAGATTAAAGTTTACTAATAAATTTAGTAAATCCTATAAATTTAAGGCCTCATCAGGGTAAAACGTCTTCGTTAATCTTGAAATTACTTTATCCAATTTCGCTGCCAACCATTATGACAGAAACCATGCCAAACGGAGCTTTGGACCATTCTACAACGAAAGGCAGACCTGGTATATATTATACAGTTAATTTAGCCGATTTCACAGTTTAGAATTGGAGGAATAGTGTTAAATCATAAGTTAATTTTGGCACGAGTAGATGTATGAAATTAGTTGATAATTCTTAGACTTTCACCTTCTTTAATGCAACCTCACCAAGTTCTACCAACTCGTAGTATACGTGTCTTTTCCACATTTTCTGCCTGAACTCTATTGAATATAGTTAATTTTATGTTTTTAGTTGCATGCATGTCACCGTGTAAAGATAAATCGTAAAACCATATAAATGTAATTAATTGCGTGTCGTGTCTTTAGGGGAATATTACGGGAATACAATACGGTATTATTATACTATACGGGAATATTACGGTATTATTTACCGTGATTCTGGCAAATAACATACTGTTATAAGGAGTAGTTGTAGTTATTCATTGGCACAACGGTTATTTTTGGGCATGTCAAAAATGTAGGCCATAGGTATATATTATCCTACATGATACAACCAAAGCGAAGAAGGACTACAATGATATATCTGTTATTTGGGAAATCATCACTTATGTGGTCACCGGCTGTTAATTGTAGTTGGGTTAACTTGTCATGCCATCTTAAACGTCATGCCATCTTATTTTTAAATTATACAAACATATGTAATCTGCATGTAGAGCAGTTTTTTTGTCATAACATTCAAAAACTAGATTGCATTAATTTAATATAAATTAGGGAAGGGGTCGCACACGCGCATTTGTAGACGGATGCACGCACATACACACACACACACACACACACACACACACACACACGCACACACACACACACACACACACACACACACACAC